TTTTTGGGGGGAGAGGGCTAACCGGGGGGGGTGGGTCGGGGGTTACATTTTTATTTAGGGCCCCACCCACCGCCCAGGGGTGGGGGCTGGGGGGAGGACAATAGGTCCCCTTATTCTAAATTTAGGGCCCCCACCCGCCGCTGAGGGGTGGTGGCCAGGGGGAGGACATTAGGTCCCCCACGTTATTGATAGTTAGGGCCCCTACCCCCCACTCAGGGGTAGGGACCGGGGGCAGGACAATAGGTCCCCCCTGTTCTAACTTAGGGCCTCCACCTGCCGCTCATGGGTGGGGCCAGGAGGGAGGACAATAGGTCTCCCCCTTATTCAAACTTAGGGCCCCCCACCCGCCGCTCATGGCTGGGGGCCAGGGGGGAGGACAATAGAGCCCCCCTTATTCAAACTTAGGGCACCCAACCGCCGCTCATGGGTGGGGGCCAGGGGGGGGGAGGACAATAGGTCCCCCCCTTATTCTTCTTTAGGGCCCCCACCATTCAGGGGTGGGGACCGATGGGGGAATATATATATATATTTTTTTGTAGTTTTTTTTTTTTACAGTGAGCAGCCACAGGCCCCACCTGGCCACAGGCTGCTCACTGTTTAATAGACATGCCCCCTACTCGCAGTATAGCGAGTAGGGGCATAATTTACTAATACTAAGTAATCTTTACTTAGTATTAGTAAATTTGTCTGAAAGACCAATTTAGGTCTTTCAGCCTTTTAGTAGATAGCTCCCTAATACCGTGGGAATTAGGGAGTTATCTACTTATTCATTCCTGTCATTACATTGACAGGCTAAGTAACTTACATTTTATATGAATGTATGTTACTTGATTGTTGTAAGTGTTGCAAATGCTTACAGCTGAATCCTGGCTATGTTTGTATACTTTTTATTTAAAATTGTATACAGTGTAACATTCTTCCACTGGGTAAGTATATTAGTACTTAGGCAATACTGTGCTTTGGAACTTCGGCACTTAGGAAATTTGGGACTTCTTCAATTCGGCAATTCAGCTATTCGGACATTTGGAAGTATCCGAATGTCCGAATTGCCCGAAATTCGTCCGAATTCGAATTTGGACCGAAACAAATTGCACATGTCTAATTGGATGTCTCAAGAAAGATGCTGCAGCAACTAAAGAAAGATATAATATATATATATATATATATATACATATATATATATATATAAAACAAGAGGGGGTTGGCTGCACTCACCCTAACATGCACAAATAGGGGTGCCGCTGGGGGCCAAATAACACAATACACAAGATCCAGCACACTCACCTATCCACTAAACAGCAACTTCAATGTTGAAAGATTTTATTTGTTTTTTTTTTAAAACAGGCAAAAATAATGGGGGTTTAGTGACATTATATGATCATACATTGCATAAGCCTGTACATTGACGTTGTGGCCTGATGGTATGTTCAGGGCCTGATGGTATTCACCCATGAGTACTTAATGTGCTAAGTATGGAAATTAGTGGACCTGTTTTTAATCTTTCAGGATTCTTTTCTTTGAGGAATTGTACTGGAGGAAATCAGATATGGCTCCTATATTTAAAAGGGGTTCTTTGCCTGGAAATTATAGACCTGTGTATATAACTTCTGTGGCTGGAAAAGTATTTTTAATTTTTAAAGTTTTTATTTTTTACAGTGCATAGACAGTAACACAAGCTAGATTAGACATGACAGCATGAATATAGAACTGTGATAAAGAATATAAGTGTCTGACAGGAATGCAATGTTTTTTTGTTAAGATATAGAAGAGTAATAACACGTGCAACCAGAAAAGAGAATTCCACCTAGAAGGTCCCTGGTGTAGACATACTGTAGTCAAATACACAGAGTGCAAGATGGGTACCACAAAGGTATGGTAGGGCTGTGCCACAGATTATGAGTGAAGTATAGATATATATACTGTGACGAAACGCCTTTTGTTACCGGATTTTCCCCTGGCTGTTGGAGGAGCCTGATTGCCAGCCTCTTGCCTCATGACTATGGCCCTGGGTTATTTGGCCCTTCAAGTACAATATTTGGGCATATTGGATTTGTATGGTGCTGCTGCTGGCCCTTTAAAAACCATCCCTGGACATATTATGACTTTTAGGAACAATGTCCCTTTAAGACTGTGTAGCAGATTGCATTCAGGCGGTCTGCAATATTATATATGCTATTATGTGTTCGGTAAATTGTAAATGTGTAGGTTCTATGTGATAAATGTAACAGTATGTATTTTTATGTCTTTTGTTGTCCTTTGTCTGCCATGTGGCTAATGGAGTTTTGCCTCTGTCCTTGGAGATAATTGCATTACTTCTCAATTATCTCCAGGATAGAAGACTCTGAAACCAGTTTGGGCCAGATAGCCATGCTGCCAGCCAGGCCCCAAAAGATACTTCTGAACCCCTGGTCTGATTCATGCCATTTTTTTAATATGTTGTTCCCCTGAATGGATTGATTGTGAATATGTAATTTTATGTGAAGGTGATGTATAGTTTTAGAGTTATGAAAGTTGGGTAAAAAGTGTGTTTTAAAATGTATGGATAATTGGGTTACCTCTCAGGCTAAGGGGAGGAGATGTGTGGGATGTAACCAATGTGTGATTGGTTGTACTGTGTCCCACCCTGTGGGATGTCCCCTTGCATGGGGACCTGCATAAAATAAGGTTCTTTGTGTGCCAATAAACAGATCATCTTGTACCTTCATGAAGTTTCGGCTCATGTTTGGGGGATTGGAGAAACTACACTCTGGGGATTGCTATAATCACTATACTCCCCAGGGTATAATCACTAAGCTCTGCTAAGAGCTTGTTCCTGTTCCTGCTCTCTGGAATTTGGAGAGAGGTCGACCTGCTGGAAGCTGGACCCTGGTCCTGGGTCCAGAGTGGGTGGAGACGGCGAGACACAACCAAGCTGCGGCGGTTCGTGGGGCCTGCAGTGGTTATGGTGTCGGGCAGAGTGCTTGGAGTCCTCGGAAAGCACTAGGAGCATCTGTCGGCGGAAGGTACCCGGTCGGGGTGCCAGCGGTTCCGTCACATATACATATATATATGTATAGTACAGAAAGTCCTTGTAAAGGGTACTTTGGATCAAGGGTGGGGAAGGAAAATAATAACTACGAGACGAATAGAATAACAGGTTATGATACAAAGTTTTAGATGTTCGTGTTATCTTAAGGAAAACACCAAATATGGTGTTTCCAGGTTTTGAAGTTTGTGTTTATGAAAATGGAAAAACACTGATGGACTGCAGCTTCAGACAACAATGCAGAAAGTAAAGGCGGGGCTTCCGAACAACAAATGTATGCCTAACAAAACTATTATCTTTTTTCGGTATCACTGAATTACCAATGTATCTCTTGATGCTAGGCTTATGCACAAGCCTCAATACTGTTTAAAAGCTGTAATGTCTGTCAATGCAAAAAAAAAGAATTCTAAAAAAAAGAGAACTTACTTGATTTTTATGACAAATAATAATTACAAATAAACTGTAAAAATATATTTTTTTTAATATAATCTCAACACAGATCCACAAGTGCCCACTCCCTCCACCACAGAAATAAACAGGTTCCTATCAGACCTTACGCTCCCGTCTCTGAGCGAGGACGACGTGGATTCACTCCTCACCCCTCTCACCATTGAGGAAATTTCTTCCACAATTGAATCCCTTCCGACACAGAAAGCGCCCGGACCAGATGGTCTGTCCAACGCCTACTACCGCACGTACCAGACAACACTAGCCCCCCATTTACTGAACCTTTTCAATCACAGCATACAAAAAGGGACGTTACCGGACGAATTGCTGTTAGCCCATATCTCGACGTTACCCAAACCGGGGAAACCACCGACAGAGTGCAAAAACTTTAGACCCATCTCCCTTCTCAACTGTGATGCAAAGATATACGCCAAAATTCTCAGTAACAGACTGGCCAAATTCCTGCCCAAACTCATACACAATGACCAAACCGGCTTTATCAAAGGCAGGCAGGGTTCAGACAATTCCAGAAAGGTATTGAATCTCTTAGCAGAACTAGAAAGAACCAAAGGTCCAGGCCTCTTCTTGGCGCTTGACGCAGAGAAGGCCTTTGATAGGCTCAACTGGGCTTATATGCAAAAGGTTCTTCACAAATTTGGCTTTCCTCCTCCTATCATATCCCAAATCATGGCACTATACACCACCCCAGCTGCCAAGGTGTCCTGCGGGGGTTTCCTCTCCTCGAAGTTCCACATAACGAATGGGACGAGACAGGGCTGCCCACTCTCTCCCTTGTTGTATATCCTCTCCCTAGAACCCCTGGCCCAAAAGATTAGGGACCACGAACATATACAAGGTATAACCGTTAAAGGAAAAGAATACCGACTTTCTCTTTTTGCAGACGATGTTATAATATCCCTCTCAAACCCAAGACGGGCGCTACCTCATATTCTCGATCTGCTGACACAATTTGGGAACGTCTCCCATTACAAATTAAACCAAGACAAAACACAGGCACTACCTGTTAGCATACCCCAAGACGTTTTGGTTACCTTAAAATCCTCTTATCAATTCGACTGGAGAATTAGCACCTTAACGTACCTGGGGGTTAAAATATCTCCTACTATAGCAGGAATTATAAAACACAATTACACACCTCTATTACAGCTATGCACGAAGGAGTTGGCAGGTTGGAAAGCGACCCACCTATCCTGGTTAGGTAAGATTAACACGTTCAAGATGATGACTCTCCCAAAACTCCTTTATGTGTTTCGCATGCTCCCTCTCCCGATACCCGCTGCACTATTTAAGGTACTACAATCCTCCTGTAACACATTCGTTTGGGGGGGCAAAAAAGCGAGGTTACCACTTAAGCTACTTCAAAATACACCTGACAGAGGGGGAGTGGGCCTTCCTAACATTCACCTCTACTTCAAAGCAGCCGCCCTGGCAACATGTATCGCGGCACACTCACCCCAAGGCCACACACAATGGGTGGATATGGAGAGGGACCAATTTCAAGACAACTCCATGACGGACTATCTGTGGACTCCAAAACGCCTTCAGTACACGCACACACCTCTTTTCCCTACCACTAGGCTGACCATATTGATGTGGGATTCCTTTATGGCCCATATAGGCTACCGACATAAGCTGCATCCCAAGGCCCCCCTAACGGCACTAAAAACCATAACCCAATCACTTTCTCTTTCCCACTGGACACGAATAGGTTTAGACAGACTTGAGCACCTCTTGGAAGACAGTCGTAAGGTAATTCCCTTCTCAGAACTAAGGAGGAAATGGAACGTGCCTGCCCAGGACACTTTCAAATATTTGCAAGTCAGGAGTATACTGACTTCCCATGCTTTGCCCCCGCCAACTCCTACCAGCATGAATAACCCATTAATGTCCTCTCTGATTATGCTTAGATGTAGGGACACACCGAACAAACCTAAAGCCCTCTCCATTTGCTACAGAACGTGGCTAGCAATGCAACCAGAGGTACAGCCGCTGTGCAAAAAACAATGGGAGGGGGACTTAGGTACGGACCTACCGGATGGTACCTGGCTGGGTGCCCTGAACGGCCTGTCCAAATGGACAAAATGTTATTCCCACATAGAAGCCCACAAAAAACTACTATACAGATGGTACCTTACCCCAACTAAGCTACACAAAATATACCCGACTGTGTCTCCCCTGTGCTGGAGATGTGGAGTGGAGAAGGGCACGATGGTGCATATTTGGTGGTCCTGCACCGGCATCACACCTTTATGGGAGGATGTGGGAACGCTTCTGAGGCAATTGGGACTTTCAGCTTTCTCCCCGTCCATTCCCAACTGCATATTATTGCTACCAGATACCAAGGTTAAATCAATCTATCACCAACTGGTGGTGATAACCTCGTTAGCAGCTAGAAATCTCATAGCGACAAATTGGAAAAGCACGATATGTCCACCCATGTCACAATTAAAGGATAAATTGCAACAATATTATATTTACGAAAAAATTTCTCTGGGATCCCCCTCCCAAGCCCTTAGGTTTCGAGAAACATGGTGCAAGTGGACTCAGTTGACAAACCAGCAAGCCACGTGAGATGACATACTGGGTTCCAATACTGACCTCTAGACCCCTAAAGGATTGAACAACAATCTTGGGAAATGTGCCACCAAGCAGATTACACTTTGTCCCCCTGTTCTGTTTCTCCCGTCTCCTTCCCCATATCCGTCCCTTCCCTGGTTTACTACTGCCCCCCTTCTGTCTATGCTATACACAGATGCATGCGGGACTATCTCGCGACCATTTGCAGGTATATGACACGCCATGATGGCAAGTTATTGAACTACAACCTTATGAATATGTTGGCTGTTTTAAAATACATACTTATGTTGTAAGCAAGCTGCGACTTGCACTACTAATATGTTATTGTATGTGTACATGCGACTGTGTACGGTGTTTTGCCCACTCGTAGTAAAACCAATAAAATACAATTTGAAAAAAAAAAATATATATTTTTTTAAATTATGTATATAAGTATGTCATTTTATTCTCACTGTATTTTGATATAAATATATATATATATATATATATATATATATATATTTTAAAATCAAAATACACTTAGAATTAAATTAGATATATATATCTATGTATAATTTCCACATAAACGACCGAGGACAAACAGAGTACGTCCAACAAAAAACGGTCGTTAAGGACGTCCACGACAGGACATCCGCGATAGGAGCCGTGGACCAACGATCTGCGTCGATCACAGTCGGGGAGGACTGCCAGAGACCCCAGCAGTCCCCCTAAGGCAGCTCCGGCCCTCCATGGCTATGTGATCACCATGATCACATCACCGCAATAGGACTCTAGGAGCTGCCAGCAGGGGGACTGTCTGAGCTGTCAGGCAGTCCCCCAGGCTGCTAAAAAAAATAATAAAATAAAAAAATTATACATATACAGGTGGTCCTCATTTAGCGACCTACCTGTTTTACCTCGGCTCACACTTACGACCAAGCGTTAGTGCAAGCAAACATGGGGATTCCCTGCTCTGGTGCGTATGTATATGTTGGGGAAAACTTCCCCGAACATAGACGAACACACCAGAGCAGGGAATCCCTCAAATCTATGTTGGGGAAATTTCCCCGAACATAGACGAACGCACGAGAGCAGGGAAATTTCCCCGAACATAAATTAGAGGGATTCCCTGCTCTGGTGCGTACGTCTATGTTCAGGGAAGTTTACTCGAACATAGACTAATGAACCAGAGCAGGGAATCCCTTAACTCCTCACTTACCGACCGATTTGTTCTACGACCAGGTCATAGGAAGGGAACCCGGTCGATAAGTGAGGAGTGTATATATTATATATGTGTAATATATTATAAAATAATTAAATCCTTTTATAATATATTATACATATATAATGCATCTATATGATTTCATTATAAGTGTATTATGATATATATCTCAAAATACACTTATGATGAAATCATAGATGCATTATATACGCATAATATATTATAAAATGATTTAATTATAACATATTATACAAATATAGGAAATACAATTGTGTGTGTGTGTGTATATATATATATATATATTTAGAAGGGGACCAAAGCCGTATCTATAATAAGTTAGAAATATGAGCAAGTCGGTTGTGGTGTGCTGAAACTGACGTATCGGGTAGGCCTGTAATAAAAGAGGGCAAAAATTGAATAAAATAACCTTATTACATATCTCTACATAGCAAGATTCATAAAGGCTTGTCTACTCAACTCTAGCACTGGTTGTGGTATGTATCTAGTAAAACACTGCGGATTTCTAGCATCCTGATGTTTATGATGTGAGTAGGGACATTTGTCTAGAAGCAGCTGATGCTGCACCAATTCTGAACGAATGTTCCGAAAAGGCATTGTGGTTGAGTACCCACCTAGTGAAGAGTGTTCTGAGATACATTATGAATTTAGCAGTAGTGAGTGGTTTGCCCTGCAGTGTAAATAGGGGCATATTGAGGTTTAGTCCAGTGAGTGATAACCTGTAAAGGGCTGGCATTTTGACCGGGCACCTTCTTGTCCATAGGATAGTACCTTATCTCCGTACGTTCGTCACATGGTAAGAGGATGTGAACTGTTTGGTACTAGGATAGGCACTTAAGATATGGTGTTGTATTCCAGTCAGGTAAAGTTTTGTAGTGTTAAGAGAGAGTTTTAAATCGTGGGGGCAAAAAGGAGAGGAGTGTCACGATGGCGTCTAGTGAAAGAATATCAGTATTATGGTAATCGGTGGTAAACTTGTTGTAAAGGTGAAATCTCTATTGTATGCTCGTGATGTATAATCGGAGAGGGCTGCTCTATCCAGAAATCTGCCAAATGCCATGAGGCGAGTTAGTCCAGAATTTAAGCAATGGAATGCGGGGAGGGTGGGCTCCATTGTCGGCTGCTCCATTGTCAGAGAAGCACTTGATAGTTTCCCCTATCCACTCATACCCCCAGGCCTTGTAGGCGGCACTATGGGTAGATTCCAAACAGTGCTGACGAGGAATGGAAAGATTTTAACCAAGAGTCTCAACTGGCCAGGAATCTCAGAACCAAAAGTCACCAAATTTACTGTGAAACCAGTGTGTGCGGCTGCATTGGTCCATGTAACTAGGGAATGTTGAGAAATGGCGGGAATAACCTGGCCTTCTATTCCAGTGTGGTATGAACCTGAGCCATATGTGTAGGTCTGCTTTAGTAAGCACAACTAGTGCCAAAATTCAACTGTCAGTGGGAAGAAGACACAGTGGTCGGGAAATAAATGTGCGGCCCTGAGGAATAATTCTCATGACGAAGTTCAACGTGCCCAGTAAGGACTGTAGATCCCCCCCGGTACGCGTGCTCTTCGCAAGAAAAAGGTTCCCCGGACTTCATTGCCCTGTACCTTCTCTGTAGGTGGACATGTTCTGTAGCATGATGGGGTCAAGATGAATGCCTAAGAAGATCAGTTTGTGAAAGTGGAACCCCTAGTGGTGAAAAAGTGCCATCATCTTGTGAATACTAACCAGAGTGGAGTGAGGGTGTTCAATCGTGAGGAAGTCATCTAAGAAACCGGATGACTGCAGGACATTCGCTAATATTGAGTGGTAGCCAACATAGTGTGTTAGCAAATAAGACAAACAGCTTGGGGTTACTCTTTGTTCTAAAAGTTAAACGTGTGGGAAAGTAATGACAATCCCTCCATAAAATGCCACGAGCATGCCCTTGGGATGGCTGAATAGGTAGAAGCTTGGAGGCGTTGGAAATGTCTTTCTTGCCCACCCAAGCTCCGGTCATCCCCTATGGCATAGTGCTGGGAGAATTCCTTAATTCCTTAGAGGAAATCAATGAGTTGAGGCTAGGGGTGGGTAATTAATATGGGTTGTCAAATACCTTCTTAAGCAACGTGATTGTGTTGCAGGGTCTATTAATGCGGACTGAAGGTTCTGACACTCATGAATACCGGACGGGAGTGTGACCAGACCTGTGTGGAAATGGTGTGTGAAAACCTTGATGTAGAAATCGACTAAGTGACGGGAAGGGTGTGCTTGGAGGTTGTCGATGCAAACCTTCTCTATGGTGAGGAGAAGTAGAGTCACTTACGTCATGAAAAGACTGAAGGCCAGGATGAATTCTGGGATAGTGAGTTTCTGATTAATTCTGGGATTCTGGTCTATAGACCGACGTAGTAGTAGTAAGACTTGTACTTTAAGACACTGTGGGAGGCAATCAGTAAGGAGACTAAACTAACCCTTCCAGATGTCTTTGCGTATGGTCGGGGACACTAAGTACGCGGGAGTGACAATGTAAACAGATGTGCTAGGGGCGGGATTTGAAGGGATAACATAACCATTAAGGAGTTTAGGAGCCCTGTGGCTGGGCCGTGTGTCAGTGCCTGTGGAGATTCCAGTCTCTCTAGTCCATCATTGATATTTTGTATGGAGGCAAGTAGAGTGGATATCAACTGCTTGACTTCATTGTAGTTATCCAGATTACCTGACTGTGAGCTAGTGCCTGGCTGAGGTATACCGATAATTTGAGCAGAAGTTTACATAGTTTGGTTTGCGAGCTGTGGCCGGGAATGGAATCCCTAAATGCCGTAGTACAGCTTGTTAATTTTAGGATGGTCCAGGAATATGGGGAACCAGGGTTAATAGGCTCCAGATAGTCTGCAGGGGTGCTAGGCCCAGCCGGTGTGGGAAGTCAGGTTGGGGTATGGGGCAGTGAGGTCCCTGTCTTGTTCTGGGATTAGAGACATGCTGAGACCCAAATAGGAGTGGGGTGAGCACAACAAATAATAGCGTGATTCTGTGTCAACTGGCTCTAGCTAAAGCTAAAGGCAAAGAATTTATCTCATCTACCAGGAGGGTGAGGCCCTTAATGCCAAGTGGCTGAGAGAGGCTCTACCTATGATTTGGCCTAGTGGGCAGGGGCCACTAAAAGATGTGGCGGGAACGTTGGCCTCTCGGGGACTGTAAAAAAAAAGTCAATATAAGAGGCCGTGCTGGGTGAGGCCCTTACTGGTAACCATGTGAGGCGTTAGCTGTGCGTTGGGCCGAGGGGCGTATACCTACATATGCGGATGAAGATGGATGTTGGCCTCACGGAATTGATAATGATAAGGCTAGTTGCTGGTTTAGCTGGGAACCAGACCGCCAGTTGACATACCCGATCCGCGAATGGGACGGGTGATGGGTAGTAGCGAGGTGGGTAAATGTACCTTGCTTGGGGTAGAATGAGGTTTCTTTGCCAGAGGAATGAGATACTGGAGAACTTAAAGGAAAAATTATGGTGGGAGGCCAGTTGGAACTGGAATTGG